AGCGGGGCTGGTGAGTGGTCGATTGAAGGGTCGCAGCCTTATGGGCCGGCCAGTGCACTGGAGTGCGCCCAGATAAGGCTCCTATTGGCACGGATTTATTGCATGATAAATTATTGAAGAGGACGGCATGACGTGCAAAATTCGCTGGTGTTGGGGGTGGCCGCTCCGATTTGCTGGTGTTAGGGTGGTCGCTCCAATACGCTGAAAAGCTGCGATAGTTCATCATTGTGATTCTCAAGGAGACTGTGGGAGCATTTTCGCACATTGGATGGCAATGAGTTTGGTTAGTTGGTGGCCTCCTTTTGAACAATGCGGATCGGTTGAGAACACGACCGCCCGTGCAACGAATAGTTGTGAAATGGACAACAAGATAGCCAGACATCACTTTCATAAGTGAAAGTCAGGCTTGGGTGCCAAGCGGATCCATTAAGACGTGCTCGGGTGGGGAGGGGTCAATCTGACCTCGCCCTCCATTAAGACGTGCTCGGGTGGGGAGGGGTCAATCTGACCTCGCCCTCCATTAAGACGTGCTCGGGTGGGGAGGGGTCAATCTGACCTCGCCCTCCATTAAGACGTGCTCGGGTGGGGAGGGGTCAATCTGACCTCGCCCTCCATTAAGACGTGCTCGGGTGGGGAGGGGTCAATCTGACCTCGCCCTCCATTAAGACGTGTTCGGGTGGGGAGGGGTCAATCTGACCTCGCCGTCCATTAAGATGTGTTCGGGTAAGGAGGGGTCAATCTGACCTCGCCGTCCATTAAGACGTGTTCGGGTGGGGAGGGGCCAATCTGACCTCGCCCAAGACTTTTGCAGAATAACTGCCGAACGGTGCGGCGAAGCGAAGCCAAATGTTGTGTATCTGTACTCAATGAAACACCCAATTTTTCTGTGAAAAAATCCATGTGCTTTTTAAGGTCGCTGACCTGTTAAGGTCAAAGTCAGGCCATTGTTATCAGGGAAGGCAACTCTTATGAAATCACTTAAGCTGATGCGACAGTGTGTGTGTTGGACGAAGTGATACATCTTTGAGCAAGTTGTTTAAGCAATTGTCCAAATTAAAGCAAGATTGTTGCTTATTTTGTTAACCTCAGGTCATGTACAAAGCATAGATCACTATAGAAAATCAAACGCTTTTCCTGGCAAAATTCCTTTATGGCATAGTTCACGCTCATTATGATGTATTTGATCACAAGGACAGAAGTGCATGTCTCATTTGACTCCGTGAAGGTCAGAGGAGGTCACTGATCTAAGATGACCTCAAGCAACGTTTTTTTACAGGAACTTGTCGCCTAGGTTAGCCTATCTTAAATTGAAATGTCAAAATGGACTGGAATACTTTTGGTCACTCTGACTTTCTATCGGTCGGACAAGATCACTGACCCGATGTTACTCCGAGCCAGTTTTTTCAGAAAAAGGTGCTTTGGTTAGAGCTGGTTATATGAGCAGGTGCTTTGGTTAGAGCTGGTTATATGAGGAGGTGCTTTGGTTAGAGTTGGTTATATGAGGAGGTGCTTTGGTTAGAGCTGGTTATATGAGGAGGTGCTTTGGTTAGAGCTGGTTAGATGAGGAGGTGCTTTGGTTAGAGCTGGTTAGATGAGGAGGTGCTTCGGTTAAAGCTGGTTATATGAGCAGGTCGCGTGGCACTTCGGACACTGCTTTTGGCTGACTCTCTTTGACTCGAATGTCCCCGCCTAGATGCCTATAAAATTGAGACAAATGAGTTAAGGAGAGCCCTTCCTTCCCTGTGAAATTGGTGTCTCGAGCTTCCTTAATTGTTTATATCCCAGAAGGTCAAATCGATCCCCTATCGACCCGAGCGCGTCGTATTCAGCCGATCTGCCGGACATGTGCCAAGCGCAACTTGAGAATCACGATAACTTGTATAATAGAATAACCAGTCTTCAGAACAACGACCATGCTTTGATAATGTCGTGCAGCATTTGTGGCAGTGGTGACGCCACCTCCATTGATTTCATCATTAAAAGACCTTTACTCCAGTCGCTTTGCCACACTCAAATGCACACACCAGTGTAAATCCGCTTCACTCACCATTTTCTACTCGAGGGCACGGCTGTGCGAGGCCTGTCCTGGAGGGCGCGTCAACGTCCACTCCATGTTCTATTCGAGGACACGGCTGTGCGAGACCTACCCTGGAGGCTGCGTTACACATCCACTCCATGTATTGGTGGTATCAGCATCAAACTGGCGAAACCGGCGCCGTCTGAACTTCCAAATCCTCGCGGCTTTCCGGGAGATCGCCTCGGGCGATGTTATTGTCTCACATCTGACCCACGGCTCCCGGCTGAAGATTGGGACCGGGGCAGCGGCTCACATCCGTCTTGTACCGAAGTGACGCCAGGGATGGCGGAGTTCTGCCGCGGCACTGTTCCGGGGCGTGGTTTGTGGCGAGTGGTGGTTGGCGCAACGGAGGCGCTTTATCTTATAGCGTACGTCAACGTGTATTAAGTTGAAATAACAGCTGGCACCGGAAGATGTCGCGCTGTGGAGAAGCTATGGAGCTGCTGCCTGCGCTCCTCTGACCTGGCAGCCCCCCCCCCCTCCCCTGACCTCTGGCGCGTGCATCAGGTCAGCTAGTCCTGGCCCGGCTAGGTACTGGCCTGGCCACTGCGCACTGCGACAACGTCTCCGTCAACGACGAAGCCGTGAAACGGCCATGCAGAACCCTCCATGTTGAGTTGCTATTTTTCGTCGAGTCGAAGCTGGTGCATGGCTGGCTCGAAAAGATGAAATAATGCAGACTGGTTTTTAGTTTTTTGTTTGTTTTTTTTTTTTTGTTAACTCCTGGCGGCAGACAAAAGACATTGCAAAACTGTCACCAGAATGATGACTGGCGGACTTTGCTAGGCTTTCAACGCGGCCATGATGAGCTGGGATGGGCGTAGGGCCCTCATGCACGCATGTATGCATGCCGTTTGGAGACAGTCGCGCTCAAAATTTCCCCGTGCGTGCAGGTGTCGATTTCACCATTCATCTGAAGCCAATATTTCTTGAGGGGCGCAATGCTGACGGGCAGGTCCACTCCTGTGACGTAGAACGGCTGACAGAAGTGCCTGCGTTGTCGGTACGAAGGATGGAGAATGCTGCGAAACGTTAGAGTGACCCAACAGGCGGCATGGACAGTGGTGAAGCCCTGGCTGAGGGAGGTGGATGTGGCGGCTGCCTCGCCTGCCTTCCCGCTGACCCAGTCTGCGGCGCATGGTCGTGTGATCTGAGCGAGCCCGGGGCGGGCGTGGGAGCGACGCGGGAGGGGGAGGGGACGGGGGTGGTCGTGGGCCGTCAAGGATAGCTCCTCGCCTGGGACAAAGTCGCCCGGTGGGCCGTCAAGGACAGCTTCCCGCCCGGGACAAAGCCGTCCCGGTGGGCCGTCAAGGATAGCTCCTCGCCCGGGACAAAGTTGTCCCGGTGGGCCGTCAAGGATAGCTCTTCGCCCGGGACAAAGTTATCCCGGTGGGCCGTCAAGGATAGCTCCTCGCCCGGGACAAAGTCGTCCCGGTGGGCTGTCAAGGATGGCTCCCCGCCTGGGACAAAGTCGTCCCGGTGGGCTGTCAGGGTGTCAGGGCTGTCAGGGTGTCAGAGCTGTCTGGGTGTCAGGGTGTTAGGGTGTCAGGGTGTCAGGGCTGTCTGGGTGTCAGGGCTATCTGGGTGTCAGGGTGTCAGGGTGTCAGGGCTGTCAGGCTGTCAGGGTGTCGGGGTGTCAGGGTGTGGTCCGTGATCAGGGCCGCACAGTTAAGACAAAGATGTGGCGGCAGGGTATATTGAAGAAAATGAGGTCACAGTGACCCGACCACCCCATTTTGAAGTTTTTGACGTGCTTTTTTGCACTCCCGGGGCACGTTGGGTAGTGGTCCTTGTGTTTGTGTTCCTTCCTTGATGAAACCCTCCATATGGTTCTGTGTTGGGCCATGGGTGTTAATGTAAAGTTAGACCAATTATAAATTCTATGGCTGCAAAGCACCCACAGAATCCGGTCATTCTCTCGCTCCCCTCCCTCCTTCCATACTGAACTCGCTCGATCCTCCACCACCACGTGAATCGCCAGAGCGTGCATAACAGGCGGTAGAGAGGACAGCCGGGGTAGCATTCCAGGGCTGACGCTGGCACGTCGCCAGGCCGAGTTCAAGAGCTTGTCCGGAGCAGATGATGGCGCGATTAGAGACAGGTACCTCCCCGTTTGTAATTTTGAACTGGATCCTTGAGAATCCGAGCAGCGTCGTGTTTGAAGTGATGGGCGTCTTGGCCGGCTCCGCTCGGTTGCACGCTCGCCCGGGAGGAGCGTGCTTGTGACCAGTGCCCGTCCGCTCATCACTTTCCAGAACGGCAGGGCAGTCAGTGCTGGTGTGAGTGAATCTGGACTGATTGGTCCAGTGAGACTATCCGTGCACCTTTTTGCGGAAGGCTAGGCGCTTCTCAGTGTTGTAACTGTGCTCACGTAGGTCGGCCAGGTATTCTACAGGTCAATACCCATGTTTGCTTGCAGATGTTTGCTGTGTATGTGTGTGTGTGTGTGTGTGTGTGTGTGTGTGTGTGTGTGTGTGTGTGTGTGTGTGTATGTGTGTGTGTGTGTGTGTGTGTGTGTGTGTGTGTGTGTGTGTGTCCGGAAAGGCACCAATGACCTGGCTCGGCTGATGACTGCAAACTGAACCAACGCCTAATCGTACACCTTTCTCGCTTCTTCGGATTGAGCACCCCATCCCCTTTCTATCGAGGTGAGAGTCATTCCCCCGTTGCTCCAGCCTGAAAGCCTTTACCGGTATCTTCAGATGGACAGGCAGTACATCCAGGAAGATCTGCAGCGGCGTGCTCCAGCGCACGCGGCGCACACGGTGTAGAGAAACACCTGTTTACGTCCCCAGCGTCTACCCGGTCCGTCCCTCAGGCTGGCTGAGCCCCATCCACCGCCGTCAACAGCCAGCGATATCTCTGAGTGCGCGCTCATAGAGGTTGAACGCCTGCCAACAGGCGCTCCTCTCTATGCCCTCAGGCTGGGAGAGCACCTGCCGGCCACCGACCGCAGGGCGCTGTCCATCAATCACTTCCAGGAGTGGTTCTCCCCGGCTGTCACCAGGTATGTGCAGTGCCGACTGGATTGTTATGCTCCATCAGACGCCAGGTATGGCAGCCTTCGTGCTTTTTTCCCCAGGGAGCTATCTGTGGAAGTTTGCGTTTGCGGCAGGGCTCAAGCATTCCAGTTATTGCAACACAGTCAAACGGATGAACTGAATGGCTCTAAGGCTGAAGGGTAGCTATGAGCATAATATCTGAAGTGTGCCTTAAATGTGTCGTAGAAAATACGGTTGACCAAAGACATTTTGATCTTTTGGTCATGACAATTTTATCTACGCAAAATGTGTCTCAAAGGAGGGGAATATGATGTTACGTGTTTGGATATGCTGGCTTCCGCGCGTCTTTGGCCCCCTTTATTTCTACCTGCTGTTCGCCCCCCCCCCCTCCCTCCAGTTTTTAGCAGGGAGCCATCCCAGCCTTATGCACCATGCGGATGAGACATTATCAAGACAAAAACATGAACAAACAAATGTCCTTCACAGTCGTCCGTGAGCACCGATTGCTCGGGCTAGACCTGAGGCTGGCATCGACTGGAATACTTTCGCCGCGGCACAGCGCCGCGTCACCTTGTTTGTCACCGGCTGTGGACATGTTTACCACCCAGCACCAGCCTGGGAAGCTGTGGCTGCAGGCTTGCCCAGAAAGAACGCTAATTGGAAACAAGTTGGGTGGACATCACAGAAGTTAAGAAGGAACGCATTGTATTCCATCGAACATTGTTTAGCGATGTACAAAGAAGTCGTAGGAAGTAGGAAACAAGCGAGCGTAGCTTTTTACAAAGTCTTCCAAGCGACTGCAGACACATCTTGACTTATTTTAATTTGCAGGGCTTAGGATTTCAGAAAAGACCGGGCAATCGTTTCCTCCCATAACAATCCATCTTTGTCTAGCTTCAGAACATGGTTGTGAACAACTAGTCTCGAGTTCCGATACTTAGAAACATCAATATACAAGGAGCATTTTCTGCGAAATCATCACATCTCCATCATCATCATCAGCATCAGCATCATCATCATCATCATTCGCCTTGAAAATATAATAGCCTTCGTAATTTACGAAAGCGGTGAAATGAGACGCTAGTGCTATTAAAACACACTTCAAGGGAGTTTGCTACCTTTTGGTACTTCTTCATCCTATTTAGATCAAACGCGTCCAATTTCGCCGGTATACCAGTTTGCTCGATATCCTTCTGAATCGTTCAGCATTTCGTTCGGCAGAAGCTGTGCCGGCGGAAAAAAATACGATTGGGTACCTGCTCACGGCTGTGAAAGTAATATTTTCCATTTGTTTGGCTTTTCGCAGCATGCTTGTTATTAACTGTTTTTTTATACACCAGTCGACCAAATTGTTGGTGCGATAAATGTCACTTTTTTCAAATATGAGTTCCTTATTCACGAATTTACGAAGCATCACACCATGACCTTTATCTAAACTTACGACATTTAGCATAGTGACACTTTTTGAAGGGCATTTTCTCTTGGAAACATTCTTTACATGCACAATCAGTTGTTGGAGGATTTCATTTACAAAGCAGATATACGCCAGCAACATTTCACGCAGTCTAGTGACGCATATGCTTAAACTTCTATCATTACACTTACCGCTAAATGCTCACGCTACCCGCTGGGAAAATCACAAATGTTAATTTCTATTGTCAGTGCGTACGCAACGTTTCGATCAGTTAATTCTCTACGATCTGTCTATGCAAAGGATATTATGGATTGTGCTACCGAACGTTACAAAAGTGTTGCCACTTGCGTGTTGCCCTTTGACGTGTTGAATAAGAGCGCGCTTTCAGTTCACATCAGCTGTCCACCGCGAAATTGATGGTAACTGTTCGATTTGTGGGTCTGTTAAGTGATCGTAGCTCGTGTTGACCACTTAGCAATGCATGCATCGCTTTATGTTCTTACGACACTTGCTGAAGAACGCTTTGATATCGTTGGTGTGAATCAAGTCCTTCACGACATTGACTACGCCAAGTGATAACTCTTGTCGCGCATCACAATGAGTACCATGTTTTTTTTTCGGCAGAGTGACACCTTCCCTGCAATTTACCTTTCACACACCAGTTAATAGGCATCGCAATTAACGAGCAAAGCGTAACGAGACTAAACATGGGCCTCTCTCTCTCTCTCTCTCTCTCTCTCTCTCTCTCTCTCTCTCTCTCTCTCTCTCTCTCTCTCTCTCTCTCTCTCTCTCTCTCTCTCTCTCTCTCTCTCTCTCTCTCTCTCTCTCTCTCCTCTCTCTCTCTCTCTCTCTCTCTCTCTCTCTCTCTCTCTCTCTCTTTCTCTCTTCTCTCTCTCTCTCTCTCTCTCTCTCTCTCTCTCTCTCTCTCTCTCTCTCTCTCTCTCTCTCTCTCTCTCTCTCTCTCTCTCTCTCTCTCTCTCTCTCTCTCTCTCTCTCTCTCTCTCTCTCTCTCTCTCTCTCTCTCTCTCTCTCTCTCTCTCTCTCTCTCTCTCTCTCTCTCTCTCTCTCTCTCTCTCTCTCTCTCTCTCTCTCTCTCTCTCTCTCTCTCTCTCTCTCTCTCTCTCTCTCTCTCTCTCTCTCTCTCTCTCTCTCTCTCTCTCTCTCTCTCTCTCTCTCTCTCTCTCTCTCTCTCTCTCTCTCTCTCTCTCTCTCTCTCTCTCTCTCTCTCTCTCTCTCTCTCTCTCTCTCTCTCTCTCTCTCTCTCTCTCTCTCTCTCTCTCTCTCTCTCTCTCTCTCTCTCTCTCTCTCTCTCTCTCTCTCTCTCTCTCTCTCTCTCTCTCTCTCTCTCTCTCTCTCTCTCTCTCTCTCTCTCTCTCTCTCTCTCTCTCTCTCTCTCTCTCTCTCTCTCTCTCTCTCTCTCTCTCTCTCTCTCTCTCTCTCTCTCTCTCTCTCTCTCTCTCTCTCTCTCTCTCTCTCTCTCTCTCTCTCTCTCTCTCTCTCTCTCTCTCTCTCTCTCTCTCTCTCTCTCTCTCTCTCTCTCTCTCTCCTCTCTCTCTCTCTCTCTCTCTCTCTCTCTCTCTCTCTCTCTCTCTCTCTCTCTCTCTCTCTCTCTCTCTCTCTCTCTCTCTCTCTCTCTCTCTCTCTCTCTCTCTCTCTCTCTCTCTCTCTCTCTCTCTCTCTCTCTCTCTCTCTCTCTCTCTCTCTCTCTCTCTCTCTCTCTCTCTCTCTCTCTCTCTCTCTCTCTCTCTCTCTCTGTAAACAAAAGACTCTCATGTAAACAAAAACTTTCTTCTCTAGTATTTAGTACTCCGTTTCGACTGCGCGATGAGCAATATCTGTTCTTTCTTATCAATCACTGTGTGTGCTGCAGCTGCAGCTGCCACGGTGTCGGCTGTTCGGGTAGGTATTATGAATATGCATATGTACTGTAAATACCGACTTGTCTGGACAATAGTATGTCCAAAGACTGGTTGGCAAAAATCTTGTTGTCTGAATGGCAGTAAGTCATGACAATCATGTCAGTTAATCATTGGCAGTAAATCAGTGGTATCATTGTCGGTGCATCGTATCACTGATATGACATCCCCGTAGCACATTTGACACAACATGTAGCGCCTGACATCTCGGAAAAAATGCTCGCGCAATCCCGGAACCCTTGGCAAGCAGACGCCAAATGTTTCACAGCATATGAAGCACATATACTTCCATCATGGCATTCTGATACGGCATTCTGCATGGCATTCTGATCTTCCCACTTCCATCATGGCATTCTGACACGTTCTGTTATGCTAAAAGACCCTAAACGCACATTTCCACCGACCGAAGATTTTCAGTAATTTGTGATAATATCTGCCAGTGGAAGCATAATCTTGCTAAAAGCCAGCCAGACGCAGGCTTATCAAAACGCAAGTCTTAAAAAACATGGTTTTAAAACTGCAAAGCATGTCTAACCAAACATCGCCGATAAAATCTGTGTGGTTGGAAAAAGTTTTTTTGTTGTACCGTAATTCTTTGTGAAAACGGCGATTTTCAGTCTTAATGTTTATCGGGTGCGATCTCAAATTGGCGTGCGTGTTAGTTTTGCTTTTTGAAACTGGTCGCCGGTAGGCACTGGAGGACAATGGCGGTTTTTGGGGGGAAGGCAGGGAGGTCATGCTCCCGCCCCAACACGTCATGAAATGCATTTTTAGATTACCAAGTAGCCGTTTTACATGAATACAGCAAATAAATATTGCTGTAATAAATGAATGTAACAAACATTATTTTCAGCATTTGATTCAGCAAGCGGCCCCTTCAGGCCTGGTTGTCGGGTGTTTGACGCGACACTGCAAGCTGGCCCCTCCCCACCCAAATGTCTGCCTGAACACGCCTCTGCCAGAGACAGTTGGCGAACGTCGCCGTCACCGGTTGCAGATGGCTGGACATCGCGCGCTTCAAGATCCTGTGGCGGGTCAGTAAGGCCGTGGAGCTGGACAGGCTCTCGGAACGGGACGAGTACGTCCGCCACAGCTCGGCCGCCCTCGACATCGCCTCCTGCTTCGATCAGGTCAGCGCCGGCGCTCCCGGCAGGGGACCTCCTGCTTCGATCAGGTCGGGCCTCGGGCCACGATCCGGCAGGGCCTCCAGGTGCGAGTTCTACTCCGGGACAAGCTCGAGGTTCTGTTCGGCATAGACCCACGCCCGGTCCGGAGCGCTGACCGTGGATGGTCGGATGCTCCGGTGGCGGTCCGCCCCGGGTCAGGGCGGAGAGGAGTGGAGTGGATGGGTGGAGTGGATAGGTCGTGGAGTCAGTTGTAGAGAGAATGGGTTCCACTCACCGATAGATGGCGGACGCTGACGTGGTGCAGCTGGGGTCACAGTGCCACGGGAGCGGGTCAGCAGTGGAGTCACTGGCGGACGGTAACGCGGTGCAGCTGGGGTCACAGGGTCACAGAAGTGGGTCAGCCGTGGAGTCACTGGCGGACGCTGACGTGGTGCAGCTGGGGTCACAGGGTCACAGAAGCGGGTCAGACGCGGAGTCACTGGCGGACGCCGACGTGGTGCAGCTGGGGCCGCAGTGCAACGGGAGCGGGTCAGACGCGGAGCCTGTTTATGAGATGCCGTCCGGGCGCGGAACAGCTACCAAGCGCCGCAGTCGGTCGAGATAGGCTGCCATCGTCCCCGGCTCGGTTATTAATGCAGTGTGCCTGATGACATTTAACGCGCGCCTGGTTAGGAGCCAATTCCCCCCTCCCCCCTCTCCCCAAGGTTTTTACAGAATTATTTTCAAACTGCGCGTGGTACCTGCACTAAACTGCATAGCTGTAGGCAATTAAATAGGAAATGTGTATGTGTAAAAATGGGTTTGTCTTGCAAGGTCGCTGAGTTATGGCAAGTCAATGGCACGCTATGGCTTTCAGCGAAGTAATTTCTCGGAAATGGCCCAGTCTGGTGCCACAGCAGTGTTAAACAAAGCCAGACTCCTCTTAGGCAGTTTCTGGGGCGATAAGAGAATTAAATTTGGGATTACAGCAAATTCCATAGACCTAGGATTAGGTTCGATGGTCAGACCAAGGTCAAAACCAGCCTGCTTTTTACGGGGGCACCCGTTTTTTTTAAAATAGTTTCTGATGCTCATTGCAAATTTTTTATAACAGGGACCGCTACAGACGTCTTTTATGGACTTTTTCAATGTCAGAGTACTTCACTGATCTAAAATGACCCAGGTCGACATTGTGTCCTCAGGAGCACGCCACCTAGCACAATTCTTGACGCTTACTCAACTGAAAAAGTCAAGGCAGTTTCGATGGATTATTGTCACAATGAGCTTCTTAAGACCAAACAAGGTCACTGACCTTAGATGGCTTCCAGTGACCTTTTGCTTAGAACAGGTTCAAGGTGGTTGCAGGAGGAAGTCTGGCGTCAAGTTGGACACCAATCTGAAGTTTAACTTTATTTGACCTTATTTGACCCGACATTCATGATCTTGGAACCTCAAAGTTTGGTTGTCGTCAGTTTGCATATAGCCGAAGCCAACGTGTGAGTTTTGTGTCTCTAGCTGTCTCAGTTTTTGAAGGCTCACGAGATCAAATGTCACACGCCCGGGTAGCCGGTTGAGTACCCTTCGCCCCACTTGAGCGAAGCGTATCCGATCGGCCACCCGGGCGCGTGATAAGTGAGTTCCTGAAAAGACATAGCCACGCGTTTAAACAGACGTTTTCTGGAACAGTTGCCACAGTTGGAGAGGGGAGGGGGGATCCGTAAGACGCTCGGAAGGGTAAGTTTTGGAGTGGAGTACTACACATTGGACTACAGTGATGTTCCAGCCATTTGGGTCAATGCCACAACCATAATAATAGCGATAGGTGTTAGTTGTCAGTTAATTTTTTGTGGCTGGTTGGCAGTTTCGTTCCACTGTTCCCTTACGTCTCTTTATACTGTATTGGTGGGTGGGTTTTTCGCACGAGCACCCGCGACAGCCATTGCCAGGGACTGCTGCGCTAAAGTAACCTTTACGGCCAGAGAAGATGAGTTTGCGCAACACTGTGTGCTGTTCGTTATGACCTGCTTTCAAAGGAAACAGCGTGCCTTTGCAGACCTATCAACTGGTGACAATAAATGCTCGCCGCTGTCCAGGAGGGGAACCGATATCGAAGACCCAACTCATTAAACTGCGACTCTGTGCGCCTAGACGTGTGCAAGTCGCCTTTGAAAGTCACCAGCACCTGCTTTGGGTTTAGAAAACCCTTCACGTGTCCTCTCCAGGTCATGCTGGTGCCTGTACAACTGATCCGACTAAGCTGACCAATCGAAAAGTAATGTTTTGTTGTCTGTAGGTAGATTCTACCGATGTTTTAAATACGTTGCAGGTGCGCGAGTTTTGGAATCAGCTGGAGTGGCCTCCTCACCTGGATGCTCACGGCCTTCGCGAGAAGCTCTTAGAGGTAAGTTTACGTACCCCGCGCGTTTTACTTTTGTTGCAGTGTGTACCCTCTTCTTTTCTTTTTTTTGGGGGGGAGTTGGATGGCTCTTAAGAGGCCTTTTTTCCATTAAGGTAATATCTCAGATGATTTGTCTGAAAAAACACGCAAAGATCAATATTATAAGCTAAGACTGGGTGCTTGCTAACTAAGCAGCATGCTAAGGTTGCGTGATCGATAAGCCGGGTAGCGTCATATCTTAAGCAACATGCAGGTAGCCACTAGCAGCACTAACAACATGTACAGCGACACAAATGGCATTAGTACTTAGAAGTGTCGGTTTGCGGCAGTTCAGTTAGGACCAATGGCTGTCGGTCGCTCTACGCGGCGTCGGGTACCTCCACGTCTTCGGCGACTGAGTAACGTGAGGCCACGGGACCGTTTTGTCGCGCAGCCGGGGTGTTGTTATGGCTGTATGGCTTAAAAGTCTTAGCCAGTTCATTTATATTCACGTTGTTTGTTTTCCATACCCCTTCCTGAATTTTGTCATGTGATTTTGTGACCTTGTGATTACTCTTAGCCTGCCGGACGGTGCGAGTTTTCTGTTTCCTTGTCAAAATGTTATCCAATGATCAATTCCAACATGACTGGAAGCGTAGGCTGCCACGGATGCTGCAAATTGCCACTGGAATAATTCAACAAAACATGGCTGAACCCAACACACGTCCCTTGTGGCTGTTGGGGTCTGTGTGGAGCACTCAGTAGCTGAGGCTGTAAGGCGATGTCAGGCGTTATCAGGCGGCTTGCCTCTTGCCCTGGCAGGAAAGACGCTCAGACTACGTTCGGCCACCGCCACGGTATATCAATTGTTTTTCAACGATGTACTATCCCTCTCTTTAAGTCAAGTAATTATGTATTTGTGTGCGTCGTTTAGGGCGCAGCAGGAAAATATTGATATAAATAGGCATGGTTTTTCATCCGTAAGTATCGTTTTCAAACAGCTGGTGCCATGATAAATGCAGGATACTTTTTCAGAATTTCAAAGTCAGGCATGTTGTAGTGCATACCCAATCAACCAGTCAATCATGGATGGTATTGTATTCCTATTTAGTACGCAGCGCACTTAATATTGATGCACTTAAAAAACATCGATCATTTGTTTCGTTTCATCGCTTGTTTATCTGATTGCAAGCTTTTTTCATTACATCAACATTTATCTCATTGTTATTGATCCGCCAAGAGGCTTTTCATTTTTGCAACCATCGTGCCAAGCAAAGCTTAGCCACCGCTCGTTGAGTGGCCCAAGGTTTGTAGAGTGTCGGCGCATATCCTGCCCAGAGCTGGGGAACAGGGCGCGCCAATCGACCTGCCCAGGGGGGTGGGGACGGGTCACGCCAGCCAACCCTCCTAAGGCGGCGCAACAGGGCGCGCTAATCGGTCTGCCCAGGGGAGGACAGGGTACGTTAACCAACCCTCCCAAGGCGGCGGAACAGGGCGCGTTGATCGACCTGCCCAGGGGAGGACAGGGGAGGTCAACTAACCCTCCCAAGGCGGCGGAACAGGGCGCGCTAATAACACACCTCCGTCTGCGGGCGAGCTGCTTGGGGCGACGTTTGTACCATTGTACCATTGTACCACGAACATTGGCAGGAAAAAACACTGACAAGCCGTACTCAAACAGTACAGAGCTAGCGTGAATGCTGTACAATGGGCGACAGTTTTTAGCGTTTGACCTACCGTCTAGTGGTGGTTTCAAGGGTGAGTTGTTTAGAGCATTTGATCCAACGGAACTAGTCAAATGGCCCAAGATGCGTGTTTTCTGCCAGACCATTCTCCTTCAAACGCCCAGCTTGATTCAGCGCCCTGAACGTGTCTGGCCCGTCAGTGTGCTCGGCACACGCAGCTGGTACAACATTTGAACATTTGTGATCGCCCGTCGGCTTGCCCGGCACTTCAGAACGGACCATTGGCTGCGACGTTTGGCGCGGGTTCGATATGAGCGGAGCCGGCAGCAGCCTGGCCAATCAGCGCTGTGACTGAGCGCGGTGCACGGTCAGCATGACGCTGGCTATCCATCCGCCGACACGGAGACCCAGGCTCACTCCGCTTCCGCGAAACGGCGGCATGTCCAGCAGCCGCTGGTGGCTATTTCTCAACTTCCGGCTGTATGGCGGCGTCACTACACCCTCTGCCGTTGACGTTGGGCTAGGAAACAACTACCCGCGGTGGCACCAGTGTCAGTCGTGTAACTCCTAACCGCGACACAACACGCACCACAGTTTGAATGCATGGCTCCACGAGAACAATGCAATATTATCCTGATACGCAGATTTCAAAAATATGCTGGCCCTAGTCCTGGCAGAAAATGACTCCCCTCCGCCCCCCCCCCCCCTCCCTAAATTTTCTGAGGGTTTGTCTCCGGATGTCTTGTGACCGCGTCCAAATTGTTCGTGGTCTCCATTGCGGTGATTGCACGTGTTTCGACCCCAAACACGTATCTGTACCGTTTCGGGGTTAGGAGCGTCGGCGGATTTTAGGAGCACTTGACGGCAGCCTACGGCCGGCGAGGGTGGTGGGCGGCAGCCTGCGGCCGGCGCGGGCGGTGGGCGGCAGCCTACGGCCGGCGCGGGCGGTGGGCGGCAGCCTACGGCCGGCGCGGGTGGTGGGCGGCAGCCTACGGCCGGCGCGGGCGGTGGGCGGCAGCCTACGGCCGGCGCGGGTGGCGGGCGGCAGCCTACGGCCGGCGCGGGTGGTGGGCGGCAGCCTACGGCCGGCGCGGGCGGTGGGCGGCAGCCTACGGCCGGCGCGGGCGGTGGGCGGCAGCCTACGGGCCGGCGCGGGCGGTGGGCGGCAGCCTACGGCCGGCGCGGGTGGTGGGCGGCAGCCTACGGCCGGCGCGGGTGGTGGGCGGCAGCCTACGGCCGGCGCGGGCGGTGGGCGGCAGCCTACGGCCGGCGCGGGCGGTGGGCGGCAGCCGTCAAATCCGCCGATCTCCTGCGGCGGGGACGGCATCTGCATTTACGGGGCGCTATATCGTAGTGTGCTCAGACACCATACTACTCAATATGCCAGGATTAAACCAGAAAAAGCTTGTGTACGCTGCATACAGTTATATGTCATGGTCTCGTAAACAGTGGCACGTAAAGATGCAATGATGCGTTTTCAGGAAAGTTAGACTTTAGGCCTTGCTTATCACGCTCAGCCAAGGACCTAGTAACATCAAACTTGTTGCCAGTCGCGAGATCTCGCTGCCGCCAACTCATTGTCCTCTTTCCGTAAGGCCCTATCATTGGCAACAGCAATGAAGGCGCACAATGCACCTTATTCATTCGCGTTTTGAAAGCCAATGAATCGGGGCGAATGTCGAGTCATGCCTTCCTCATCTCAGTCGCGCACAGTGCAGTCACTGTGGTGCACTGTGCTTGATTCGCTCCGCCATTCCTCTCTGCAGGCTTGCTGCTTTTGTTTTGGGGCCGGCATCCAGTTCATTGGACAAGAATCCCTCCCGCATGCAAGGAAAGCTGCCGATTTGACGGCAGGTGCTGACTTTGACACTCAATGTCTAGCAGTGGCTAATGCTGCACTCAGAATGAAGTGGACCCAGTGTTTCAATCGCTGTTGCTGACGGTATCCAGACTCACGTCAGAGTCATGTCCTGAGGAATAAAACACACGCTTAGCCAGTTGCAGGCAAGCGCTGCAACAGAGTGAGCGCAGCCCGCCAATGGTTTATGTAGCCGGATTTGTTAAAATGACTCACAAAATTATTCAATAGAATCAGGCTAAAATTGGAAAATTAGGGTTCTTATTCATACGTTTTTCAGTGAGAAGCTGTTCATATTTTGCAGCCTAATTTACTGGTGCTTCGTGTCTGTTATGAATATTCTGTCGCTGTGGCTCTTGGATCTATAAAAATCAAATCCGATTTGTCATAACTTGTGTGTTTGGCACCACCATCAGTTTTTGGATGGCGTTGGAACTAAAGTAAAATGAAAATCCGTTATTTTGCTTGTAAAACGTTTGACCCGCAGTGTCAGTTCGACCACCGAATCTGGCCACAGTCCGGCCAAAAGCCCGCGGGTTCTTGTTGGTCAGGTGTTGACGGTGGGGTAAGTGCTGGTGCTGGTGCTGGATGCTGGTGGGCTAAGTGGTCACGTACGTACTTCGAAATAATTTGCGAACTTTGTATGCCGCCAGCCGTCCTTCTCAGCAGGTTTATTTGACGATAGCTTGACTTGTATCATCCTAAAGATGATGTGCTCGCCGCCGTCCAGCTATACACCTGGTACGCCTTTTAAACAGAAGTTATCAAGTCAAGGGTGACGCAACATTTAAACACTTCAGCTAGCAATAAGGTGACGTCTTGCCGGGCACGCATATATATATATATATATATATATATATATATATATATATATATATATATATATATATATATATATATATATATGCGTGCCCGACATGAGGTTTCCTTGCTAGTGTATATGTGTATGTATGTGTATATGTATATGCATGTATATATGTATATATATATATATATATGTGTGTGTGTGTGTGTGTGTGTGTGTGTGTGTGTGTGTGTGTGTGTGTGTGTGTGTGTGTGTGTGTGTGTGTGTGTGTGTGTGTGTGTGTGTGTGTGTGTGTGTGTGTGTGTGTGTGTGTGTGTGTGTGTGTGTGTGTGTGTGTGTGTGTGTGTGTGTGTGTGTGTGTGTGTGTGGTGTGTGTGTGTGTGTGTGTGTGTGTGTGTGTGTGTGTGTGTGTGTGTGTGTGTGTGTGTGTGTGTGTGTGTGTGTGTGTGTGTGTGTGTGTGTGTGTGTGTGTGTGTGTGTGTGTGTGGTGTGTGTGTGTGTGTGTGTGTGTGTGTGTGTGTGTGTGTGTGTGTGTGTGTGTGTGTGTGTGTGTGTGTGTGTGTGTGTGTGTGTGTGTGTATTAGCACAAGTTCCCGCGTGGCGCCAGAATCACCACCATGATGCCTGAGCTGTTATTTCGCGCGACGGGTGAATGCAGCTGTTTCCGACGTTTTTTGCGGGAGGTCAAAATAGACCCTTTCCTATACCAACGACAATAACTTTACTCGCACATAATCCTGAAGATGTGTGACAAAACGTCCCAGTGAAACTAAGCTGAAATTATTTTCCATGGAATCACTGTTTTCGGGTCAGCTGCGTCAGACCTGACCTGTGTCGTTTGGGCGCAAAATGTGCTTACGTCTACTGGGTCCGGCATTCAGGATATTCGGGCCCCGGGCCATCAATAAAATCAGCAGTTTTCTCCAGTTGAGCGTCGACACAACCCGGTATTGTGCAGCGCTTCTGTTTCCGAAGAGCAACACGTCCTTAGATCCAAACTGTTTTTCTCCCAACTGCTGAAATAGAAAGGCCGGCCTCTTGTGTTTGGCATGCGTAAGAGCCGTGCCGAAGACAGCCGATAGTGCTCCTGGAGAGACAGCCCACCGCCGGCTGGCTGCTGATAGAGGGCAAAGCCGACGGAGCTTGGAGATGAGCTCCAGCCGGCAGTCGCCTTCGCTGTGGTCATCAGGCCCGGAGCTGCGCAGGGCTGGGGAGCGCCAGGCGGGGTATGGTCTGACGATGGGCTGGCACCGGCAGTATGTCTGTTAAAGGTTATTAATTATAATGGCCGAATAGTCAATTCCAACGACATTACCGCTAACGCGTTAGTGTCGAGTTAAGGGTTGCGAGCCGTAATCGCATTTGCGGTTGTAGCTGTCTTCTGCTGAAGTCTTCGCCGAAGGGCAAGGCTGCGGGTGGCGTTCCGTTACGCTCAGGCGTGTTTGATCACGAATCAAACGTGCAGCAGAATCAGAGTTTTCCACACATGTCTACCAAGCCGAGAAAGCACTCGCCACCTACAGCCACTCCGCGGCCATGCATCGCAGAACCCTTTGCTGCGTTGTCCCCCGAACGTGGCCTCGATCGGTTCGGCCACCGCTGCCCCTGTCGACAGGACATTGTGACTGGAGCCAAATACTACGCCGAACTGAGCAACCAGCGCTCGGCCGGGCAGCTGACCATGCCGTCCCAGGGCGCCACCATCTCCCCAGAGGTCAGTACAGGTCACTGGGGTCAGCAGCGGCTGCAGGCATTCGACCTTGCTGTCTCAGAGCGCCACCATCTCCCCAGAGGTCAGTACAGGTCACTGAGGTCGTACGGGCCATGGGGTCAACTAAAACCTCCCTTTCGCTGGCAAAGCTCCGCAAGGCATGCGGGTGGTAGCACTGATCACAGGGTCAATACATAACGCATCCATTGTCAGTGAATTCATTTCTGTCATAAAGCCTGAGGTTTGGTTTCAGCTCGCTTATTTTTCATGTTGAGAGCAATTAGCATAAGAAGAGTATGATGAACGAGGCGAGTGTCGCACAGCAACAGAAGTGCGTGAGTCAACCTGAACAAAATCGAATGGCATCCAGCATAATCTATATGTAATAACATATGTTGGTGTATAATCCGACCACAGACCTGGGTCAGATTATGTCCTCATCTTTTGTGGTGCATATTCCTAGCATCTGTACTTATCGTTCATTCCAGTCCTTGTCAATCACCACCTCAGTTCGGTGCACCGCTTGGCTGATGCACTGTATGTCTGCATGTCTGTCTGTGCCGTACGTTCGGTGACTGAACTTCTACGCATCACCACGCCGACAACGTCACCTAAAACACCACAATCAATGTGAATTATTCCGTGATCAACCTGGTCTCGCTTCACGTTGTATGCTGTGTATGCACCTGGGCGTGTGGTTTCAGCGCTGTGTGGACGCCTCGCTGTGCGACTTTAGTCGTTGCGTATATGCCCCGGCGTTCGGCGTTTAGCGCTGTGTATACACCTCCGCGTTCGGCGTTGAGCGCTGTGTGGGCGCCTCCGCATGCGGCGTTCAGCGCTGTGCGGACGCCTCGGCGTGCGGTGTTCAGCGCTGTGCGGACGCCTCAGCGTGCGGTGTTCAGCGCTGTGCGGACGCCTCAGCGTGCGGTGTTCAGTGTGCCCCCGCCCTGCCACGCCGCAACACGCTCGCTGGCGGTTTTGCGGCGCCCTCCGCCCCGTAATGAGGCGCCGGGACGGCTCCCGGGGAAATACGACACCGCGCCGACCGCATGCATGCGTGCGCTAACAACATTGGCCGGAGGTAATCAAGTCCGGCGCGACGCGGTGTGCGTGCGTCGCCGGGGTCCGCTGCTGGGCGGCGCGTGCCCTGATCTGCTACTGACGCTGCTGGGCGGCGCGTGCCCTGATCTGCTACTGACGCTGCTGGGCGGCGTGTGTCCTGATCTGCTACTGACGCTGCCCACTTCTCTGTACAGCTCTGTGTGCATGGAATTGTGCCGATCAAGTCCAAGCCAGTCGACCAGTTGTAGATCCTTTTCCCCGTTTTGTTTTGTTTTACAAATAACAGATTAAGTGTAGCTCAGTGTGGTGTAACAAGTCTACCCGTGATAGTACCGATGCATATGTATTTCTTGATTTGTGGTTGCATCAAACGACACAAGTAGCAAGTGTATGGATATATTTGCCTGTTTGCAAACTGAAGCTGCAGCGCATTCCAGTTCACTCCAGTTGGTTGATTCTTGCATCACATCAAATTCTGACTTGCTCCAGAAATTTTCCGATTTTGTTTGTTCCAATCGTTGCATTAGTATATCAGTCTCAGTTAGGTCGCATTCATGAATATCCTTACCGCTCTAATCGCACGTTATTAAGTGCATCTGCTAAACATGTATTTCAACTATTCGTTTCGATAAAGGCATGTTGCCGAAATATCAACTCATCTATATCTCCATTCCTCTGGTTTTCTGCGGGGGAATAAGGTAATTACCACTGGCTCTGGTTGCAATATGACGTAGTTTTCGGGAACCCATACGAGTGCGTGCCGTTCATCTGGGGAAGTAAACTAGGTACCTGCTATGTAAAAACTAAATGGAATTTTTGAGACGCCCATGTCGCGATACATTATTTTTTGCAACCTACGTGCGAGCAAAATAAAACGAGGGATCTGTTCAGTATATCACTTAACCCCTGGTGCACAATGTGCTTGACAAGCATGCTGCCCACTAAGGTAAGTTTTCAAAACTCTAGTTTCCGGGTTCGGTCTAAGTAAGTTGCTTTCCTTTGCACGGGTGGGAGCAACGACTCTCTATGACATTTTTTAAAGTTGAAGCTAAGCTGTGTAAAAATGCGTTTTTCCCGTGGTGCTAGCAGCGATAACAAGCCATCCTTCGACGCTGTAGTCTGGAAATGGAGATTTTTATTTTGGCATTCCCTGGAATGGCATGCTCATATATTTAACTGCGTGAATGGTAGGTTTTAGGTTGGTTTTTAAGGCAAGTTTAGGTACTTATTCCTGGTCAGCCAAACTTATTTCTTGGAAGTACAGCGCTCTGTAAAAGTATCTGCCTATGAGATGTCTTCGCGAAGTGTCTTGCCAGACCGGGAAGAAGCCGTTCACTGAACGCGTCTTATCTTCGACGTTTTTATGTTTGGGACGAAATCAAGTTCAGTGTTTTAAAGTGGAAGCGGAATTAAAGTCGATGACTTGGTAATGGAGTTGCCGTGCTGCCGCGTTTCTTCGCTCCTTGTGTGGAGTCCATTTGGTGAGGCGTAACAGTCGCAAACACGCGGACACGATCTTGGCAAAGTCAATACAGCCTCCACCGCGTCGCCGATGTGGGGATGTTGCTCTCGGGGATTTACAGCCTCTACCGCGTCGCCGATGTGGGGATGTTGCTCGGGGGATTTTACAGCCTCACCGCGTCGCCGATGTGGGGATGTTGCTCTCGGGGGATTTTACAGCCTCTACCGCGTCGCCGATGTGGGGATGTTGCTCTCGGGGGATTTTACAGCCTCACCGCGTCGCCGATGTGGGGATGTTGCTCGGGGGATTTTACAGCCTCTACCGCGTCGCCGATGTGGGGATGTTGCTCTCGGGGGATTTTACAGCCTCACCGCGTCGCCGATGTGGGGATGTTGCTCTCGGGGTTTTACAGCCTCTACCGCGTCGCCGGTGTGGGGATGTTGCTCGGGGGATTTTACAGCCTCCACCGCGTCGCCGATGTGGGGATGTTGCTCGGGGGATTTTACAGCCTCCACCGCGTCGCCGATGTGGGGATGTTGCTCTCGGGGGATTTTACAGCCTCTACCGCGTCGCCGATGTGGGGATGTGCTCGGGGGATTTTACAGCCTCCACCGCGTCGCCGATGTGGGGATGTTGCTCGGGGGATTTTACAGCCTCTACCGCGTCGCCGATGTGGGGATGTTGCTCTCGGGGGATTTTACAGCCTCTACCGCGTCGCCGATGTGGGGATTGCTCTCGGGGGATTTTACAGCCTCTACCGCGTCGCCGATGTGGGGATGTTGCTCTCGGGGGATTTTACAGCCTCTACCGCGTCGCCGATGTGGGGATTTGCTCTGGGGATTTTACAGCCTCTACCGCGTCGCCGATGTGGGGATGTTGCTCTCGGGGGATTTTACAGCCTCTACCGCGTCGCCGATGTGGGGATGTTGCTCTGGGGGATTTTACAGCCTCTACCGCGTCGCCGATGTGGGGATGTTGCTCTCGGGGGATTTTACAGCCTCTACCGCGTCGCCGATGTGGGGATG